GAATCATTGAATGTATGACTTTAAGATAAACAGTATTAACAAACATTCATTTGAATTTATTATTATATTTTTAATTTTTGATACAAATAGTAGATACAATTTATCATCTAAAGAAGAATATAATTGATAACTGAAATCTTGTTTAAAACACCTGAACTTAATGGGTAAACCTTCATCTCATTAAACAGAACTATAATAGATATTTATAAAATAAGAGATGGAAACATCTTTTGGCAGATTTAATGAATTTACAGCTGGATAAACAGAATGAAGAGTCTCTCAATATTTTAGAAATGAAAAATGAATAAATGTATACAAGAAAAAAATTGTTCGTTAAACTCCATTTGATCAAGAGCTAAACAAAGAAGACTAGAAAAGAAAACAATATTATTCTTTGATATTAAACGCCGTTTCAGATCTAGTGCTACTTCAGGAGCAATAACTTTGAGATATTCCTGTCTATGGAGTTTTTCATTTGTTATAGAGAAAATAATTTCATTGCTGCACTCTATTCATTAATTTGTATTTATCATAGACTTTTATGTCTCAAAGAATACAAGTTTATGTATCGTATATTTATTCTCTGTGTGAAAATAACCTTTTTAAACTTCATTTTTCTATTGAAGAGAAAAATTTTTTTAAACTAAATTATTTGTTTAAACGATGAACAATAGTAGTCTATCAAGTATCAATAACAATAACAATAATAACAGTAGTTAGACTTATTGAAGGACGACAATTTGTTCAATATCTCTATTATTATTTCTCCTCCTGCGTATACAATAGATATGCCTATAACTGACTGATAAGTCTTCATTTTATTTTTATGTTTGTCTATAGTGTAATTAGATCGTGGAGGCATATATCTTTGTTTTTTAATTAATTGAGAGAGAAAGAGAGAAGGATATATGATATTTGAAAGCGTAACAGGTATAGTATTCTAATAGACATATTGAGATATAGGCTACAGATATGGCAAGATAGTATAATAGACGTGGTCATCATTAGTCTTAAAAGCTTCATTTATTTTTATAGTATATATACAGATTTTGTAAAATAGATACGTCATTTTGACTTATTTATACACACAAAGAAATCAACAAAATGATAATTATGATTATTATTTGGAAAATAGGCTCAACAAGATTTATTAGAAGGCACTTAAAATAATAGATAGTCTAAACACTCATCATACTTTTCATGTAGTATTACACTACTGTGAACACTATTAATCTATTAGCTTATTATCCATCTATACTATTTCTTTTTTAAACTGTATCACTATATCTTATTTCTTTTTGTTCATATATCATCGTTAAACATGTTTAATCAAGTTTGTATGTTAGTTTAAACGTAATCAGGCTCACATCTCCAATAATAATCATGAATTGTGTGATTTTGTGAGTTTTTACTAGTTATTCTAGTTGATCATGCACAAAGGTTTTTTTTTTTTTTGGAGATCGACCATGGATAAAACATAATAAATGCATAAATAAATACTTGAAAATATTTTCCCTTCCTCTTCTCTCCTCATAATCCATTAGAACGGAAGTAGTTTCTAAAAGAAAACTTATTGTTCTTTGTTTGGTCTCTTTTTCTAGTTCAAAATTTCTTCTTATACAATTATCATTCAAACAACTACTTTATAAATCATATGAAGAGAGAGACCATCACCCTTCATCTTAATGATAATAAAGAACTTAACAGATGAACTTGTATATGTAATTTATTATGGAGAGGCGGCAAGCGGTTATTAGATGTTTCATTTACTTGAATTTTATATAGATAGATGGTTAAATTCAATAATGATAAGTGTCAATCAATATTATGCAAATATTTAAGAAAATTTAATTATTAAACAAAATTTTTATTGATGATGTAATTGATAATTGAAATCTTGTTTAAAACACATGAATTTAACGGGCAACCTTCATCTCATTAAATAGAACTATAATATATATATATATATTTACAAAATAAGAGATGGAAACATCTTTTGGTAGATCTAATAGATTTACAGCTGAATAAACAGAATGAAGAATCTCTCAATATTTTAGAAATGAAAAACGAATGAATGTATATAAGAAAAAAATTGTCCGTTAAACTGCATTTGATCAAGAGCTAAACAAAAACTCATATATACGTGAAAAAGATTCTAAAAACATAGTAGATTAATGTTGAATTGATAGTACTTAGTACTTTATAAATTTATAATTTATAACAAAATCCTCTGATGTAGTATAAGCAAATTTTGAATTAAGTACGGATGGAAGATATTATCCTCTAAAACCTTGACATTTATTTTGTTAATAATATGTTAATTTGTTAAAAAAATACTGAGATTTTTCTCGCTCTCTTTTTCTATATTGAAATTAAGCGTTTTTTTATTGTTAATTTAATAGTATGTTTATTTGTCGCCTATTATTGTACATAATCATACAGTATTTATGAAAATTAACGGTTATCTCTATTATGTATAGAGATGTACGACAGTTATTTAGTCGAGGTCACACAAATTAGAGGACGAAAAGAAAAGTACTTTATCGTATAAAAGACATGACAGAAAACGAATTGAAAAAGAAAGATACACAAAAAGAACATTTATTATGATTAATAAGTTTGTCTTATTGATCAGTATATTTGCTATATGTGATGGGAGTAGAAATATCTGATCACATGCTCATAACTAATCGATAATTAAACTATTATCAACTTTAAATATCATTCAACGAATATATTAGGATTTATAACAGCAAACAATAAATATTTGAAATATTGCGATCGTTCCTATTTCAGATCAAGTTTTATGAGTGAATTATAAACGTTTGAATCTTTTTTTTGTTAGCTCATATTGTATCTAGCAGGCTAATGTCAGTGTAAAAAATGATGAAAAATACTAATAAAAACAGAAAAATTCAAGGCATGTGCTTCTCATTTCATGAATTATCATACAAAATTCCTCTTAATGAACAGAAGATGTATTTTGATGACAAATTCCCATCAAATCAAATATCTTAGGTCTGAATTTATGCAATATTGCCCTTGAAAATGATAGCCTTGTCCCCAACTGTTTTGACAAATGTTATCATAAAAAACATAAAAAAAAAACAATATTTTTCAAGATTTCTAGACATTGATTGTTGTTATTGTTATTGCTTTCTCGTAAATGATTAGGTAATTTCTTTTTTTGTGTATGTAGTACATTAATTTTTTTGTGACAATTTTTCATTATTTTCCTAAGGTAAAATTATACGAATGTCTCTGTTTTTTGTTATCTCTCATTATCGAAACAAACGGACAAAATATTCACATTACGTACATATGTAGAGAAGACTTTTAAAAATCTGGTTATCATTCAATAATATAATATGTAATTTGTCATTCCTTCTATTTATATATATGTCATATTTATAAACAATTTTAACTTTAGAAAAACAGACGGGTGACAGTAGTATATTTGTTTTATTTTAAGAAAATAATATATAAAACTATTGTCATATCATTAATCTAGTCTTATTCAAAACAAGTACTAATTCACGTAAAAATTCATAAATCATTTGCAATTTTGAGTATGTGTAATTTATAGTATCCAAATGTGATACTAAAAATTTTTTCATCAAATCTTTGTTAGTTTTCATTTCAAACAAATAAATTTTTTTGTTTTTTTTGTCGAGGTCATATATACTACAGAATTATCCACTATGATTATTAATTTTATAGTAAAACAGCTTTATTCATAATTTTTTAACAAAAATGTGTCAAAAGGGAAGAAACTTATTTGTTTGCATCAATAGTAGATGTATAATACTTGTGTTAGTTGAAGAAGGAAAAAAAAAAGAAAACGAAGAGATCTTATGAAGTAAAGTTGCTGAGCAGTATCACGTATTGTCGTTCATAGAACACAAAGAAAAAATATTTTAAAAGGTTCCTTTCAATGACAACAACGACAACAAGTGTATACATATTATATTTTCTATACAGAAGAACAAGAAAAAAGTTTATTACAAACTTATTCACATATAATTATGTTGAAGGAAAAGAAGAAAAATGAAGCCTAATCCAAACAAGTGAATATAGAAGCATATATAAAAGAATATCTTGTTAACTAAAATACATTAGAATTGTGTATGAATATCATAATTATTTAGTTTTATACAATTCCCAGAGAGAGAAGCCAAGTAAATAATATCAGCTATGATATTTGTTGTCGACAAAAAAAAGAATAAAAGAGAGTCCAATTTAACTGTTGTACCAATTGATAGTTTACACTCTATATTGATAGCTTTTTTTGTCATAATAGTAATTTGTATGTCGAGTGGTGCGACAAAATCGTTTTTAACCCTTTGGATATGGGAACCGTATATCTATGTTTTGAGCTTTTGTACAGATTATAACTTATATGATCTTCTATCTTTCCTAAGTTATAAGAGTATTCTCTCTTTCCATTATGTTGTTAGTATCATAGCATCATCCTGTGGTACAATTATGCATGTAGATCAAGGGAGAAACAAGGAATTTTGAATTTGGAAGTGTACGAGAATCTATGAAATCTCTCAACCCAAAGTCTTTTAGAGTGTCATGTAACCAAACAGAATTCCGTAAAATCGCATAGAATCCCAGAACCATTGCTGACTCATGGAGCTGCGGCTACTGCTAAAGCTCTAGTCTCACAGTCGATCAGACGTTAGATTTGATTAGGTCTAAATATAGAATTCCAAGGTTCTAAATAGAATTATCCGCATGACTGCATAAGATTCTGCGTCATTCTACTCGACTGTGCAATTCCAGATTATTATGAAGTTCTATGGCGCTCATGGAATCCACTGTTTCCCCATGCCGTACACGCCCTATTTCAAGCTTTTATGAAAAAAATCAAAATTTTTACATCATTCCAAAAAATTTCGTACCCAAAAGGTTGATACTAATTTCTGATTTTATCAACTATAGTTACCAAACCTCATCTTTTGTTTCTGACAAGTCAAATTTAACTTCGAGATCTTTCAACGTAGTATCTTTTTTCGTTAGTAACACTGATATATATCTTTTAACATAATCCAGATCCTTCATATCACCAAGCACTTTTATTAATTCAAATTGTCAGTCACTTTCATATAATAGATGGATAATATGAAAAAACAATAATCATCAATCTTCCTTTCAAACCATATTATCGCTTATATGATCTTTTGAGCATTAGTCTTTAACGAACATATACTTTCAATTTTGTATCTAAAACGTAATGCTTTGTCTGTTTACCATATGTAGACACTTGTGAACGTCAAATTGAACTATAGTCATTAAAGAAGAATAGAATAAAAAAAGAGTAGGAAACACCTTGTTCAGTTTTTTGTGCCAATTTTTACCATTCCAACAATGACATAATGTACACATTTATACAACGCAATTTTAACTTTTATCTCTCAGATAGTTAAAAATAGAAAAAAACAAACTTAAAGCTATTATATTTGTTCTATATCAAAAGAATGTTCAATCTATTTATAAGCAATCAACATTTTTTCAATCATTTCATTATGCATGTATAGAAGGTAGAAAATAACATTAGACAATACCGATCCGAGATCTCATTTCCAAAAAACAATAACTCCTATGGTGAAGCCATACGAGTTCTTTCTCGTAAATGCAAAGCTACTCAAACGTTAATCATCTAAAATGTATTTAGTATATTTTGAAAGCTTCGATCTGAAATAGAATGTTTTTTAAGTGTATGACGAAAAACTAATGTTTTTTTTAAAAAAACAAAATTATTCTTAAATACAAGCACTAAGTATACAGTTAAAACATAAGTGTATTATTACATATATCAATCAAATTTGCAAAAAGATTGAATTCACTCATTAGCTATAGCTAGTTGACAGACAATTTTTAATTTATGTTAATAATCAGCATTTGTAATAAGCTCTTTTTTTAGCAAGATCTTTGTTTTACATAGAACAACTTTTTGAAACATGATTTAATAGAGAGAAAGAAATATTTATATGTTTCGCTGTATATAACCTTGTAATAGATTGATATAACCTAGCATCAATCCATTCAACCACAAACATTCTCTCATATCTTCTTTTTTTCTCATGCTTTCATAAAAGTTTTGACCATATATTGAAGTATTCATATACAAACAACATATAGTAGTTTGAAAAGACAGACAAAGTTGAAACGATCAGAAACACTTGATGAATGTAAATGTTCGCTACGATAAATCCTTTGTGTAGAGGTATTGAACAAAAATTTTTTTCTTTTTTGTCTAATTAATTGGATATGATTGAATAAGCTGCACTATTATTTAAACTTTACAGATTGATATGAAAACAAGAAGGTTCTAGTGGCGAAAAACGATGTTTTTGATGATTAATGTCTTATAACAGCTACTGGTGTTTTATGACACAATGTATGTACGTAGCAGAGTTATGACTTGCATACCATGTGTTTAAGTTAGATAAATTCTCATATATTGGATTTCTTATATATGACCTAAGGTGTGATACTATTTGTATCCACTTAAGTTGTCTAAAGAATAATGATATTTTTGCATCCTTTCCTCATATACATACGTGAAAAACGATACCTGCCGTCTCTTATACGCAAAGAGAGACTCATATCATACCTTGAGTTCAATCACCATATGTCAGGAATTACTCATGATGAACCGTTGAATATTTTAAAGATGAACATCAATTTTGATGCAAATCAAAGTTACTCTTCTCTTTTTCTCATCCAATTAAAACAGGTTATCAGCAATTAGACTATATCATATGATTTGTACAATACAGGTGCACAAACAAATGTTTTTTTCTTCTTGACTCATCAATGTTGTGCCTATATAAATAAATTTATCTATACATATTGAACAATTAATTGCTTAACAAATACGTAATTGACGTGTCAAAGATCATTTTCAAAACTTGTTTACAAAAACTTTTTCATCTTTCTTATTTTTATGAATAAACATTTCCTTTTAACAAAAAAATATCACTACGATCTAATATGTTCAATAGTAGTGAACAAATTTCTATAAACAAAACACTTGGCATTCTTTATATAAAATGACTATTATCATGCTATAATTGATATGATCATCCTCGAGTATTTGTTCCCGTTTTATATGCTGCCCTATTAAAGACAATTGCATAATTTAGATTTTCTATTACATAAGAGATGAGAGACATCTCTTCCCAGGCGGCTATGTTCAGATCAAAATAAGAGACATACGTTGAAAAACATTAGATTGACATGGAATTTTTTATTCTCTCTCCAGTATAGTCAAAATAGATAAAAATATTATGTTAGTCTAAAATATCTGCTAGACAAGACACTTGTTTATTGACATTTCTCAAAAATAAAACTTTCTAACAAAAATATAGATATGTGAAAATCTAATAGGATGGACTGTTATAGTTCCGTGTGTCTGATATACGTAATATTCCGTTAAAAGGTGCTTCCTCTTATAGAAAGAGTGTACAATTCATACTCATAATATGAATTTAATGTATAGATCTGATGCTGATAAAAATGAGGTGTGTCAAAATTGACACTCACGTTAGTCCATTAGATCACATTGAAAACGGTTAAAAAAAGGTAGTAAAGGGAAAAGAAAAAAAATACACACATATAACACATACGCATTGTCATAAGCGCCTCTCATACGATTTTTATATCAACACAATACAATACAGTTTTGGTGGTGTCAAACCGAAAAATAAAGCAAAACTTTCTGACGCGACTATATGATTGCATCATTTAACTGAGCAATGTTCAAAAATCAAGTTAAGAGAGTAGAAAAAAAAAGGAAAGGAAAGAAGAAAGCTATGGGTTTCGTCTATGTGATGAAGCGTTTTATATTGAATAAATGAAATAATCATATTATAAGACATTTTCATAAGTAAATAAATAAATCGGTTTAAATGTTTCTCTCTCTGTCTCTCTCTCTCTCTCTCTTTCTATTGTTAAAACTGTCACAATGAATATTATTCGTATATAATCCTCACCACATGATGATTTTTTGTAACAAATTTCAATTAAAATATATATTAATGTGCACAGTCTGAACCCTTTATAGATGCATGAATTCCACACTGTGTCATTTAGTTCTAAGAAGAAAACTCAAAAAAAATAAAATAAAAATATATATATTTAATATTAAGAGATTTGTTTATTTCTTCAATGAATATATAAAAAAAATGATTAGAATTCTCATTTCTCGCTTGAAGCATATCATAGTAAAGTTATATTTGATATATGTTTGATGACATACTATCGAAGGACATACTCACTTCAACAATAAATGTAAACATCTAAATAATTAGTGATAAATGTCCAACTCTTGAAAATTCTCTTTCACTATTGTTAAATGATGCAAGAAGGTTAATGTACATATAATGAGTGTACGATATCATTTGTATCCACAGAAACAAGGGCATACATATTCATTTAGATCAAGCATGAAACAAATTATGTTCATCAATATAGATATAAAAATCTATAAAAGACAGTAGTCAAATATCTTTGTTATAAAAAGAAAAAAAATAAATAATAAATATGAGAATATGAATGGTTAGAAAAAAAAATAATAAATTTCATCAGTTACCATCTTTATTCAAACAATTCAATAATTCTCAAAACAATTAAATGATTCGTAGTACTATTTTTTTTTCTTTTCTTTTCTTTTACAAGATTAATTTGTAATTATATCATCGTCATCGATGAATGTCTCAATTACAATCCCAAGTTAAGCCGTTTAATTCAATAGAAAAGTACTTGTCTATCAGTAAGCTAAGAAAGAAAAAAATAAATAAATTGTAGTACTATACTAGTCACTGTGGTCCGATTATATGAGAGTTTAAAATTTCTGTTAGAAAAGAGTAATAGTTGAGAGTTTCTCTAGGACGATATAGGAGAATATTTATTCAAACAGTTTTATCCGGTACTTTATCATCTTAAAATACATTTAACTGATCTATTAACAAATATATAAAGAGATAATTACTATGCTGTCATCTAGATGATATGTGAAATGAAATAATAAACGTTTTTTTCAGATTTATATTCTACAACACGATGAGTATGTATAGAAGTGACAGTTATCTATTCGCCACTATTTAAGTATTAACAAAACGTTTTTAACTACTTCAAATAATCTCAGATATTTTATCAGTACTTTGTGGTACTTTTGAATATTTACAACTTTACAGAAGCCCAGTAGAGAATATAAAACGTATATAAGTATAAAAATTTCAATTATATCAATCAATAGGCAACGTGCAAACACTTTACAGTTCAGCTACCAAGAGACGTAAGAGAAAACTTTCTGATAGTTCAATGAAATACGTCAAATAGCAGTGTCTGTTTGACAAAAAAAGTTTTTTCGACTTTCTGAGATTCCTTCCAGATAGACCTCAAACGATTAAAAATGTTTTTTTGTCAAACAGACACGGCCATTCGATGTAGCTCACTGAACCGACCAAAATGACCAGAAAGTTTTCTCCTACGTCTTTTGATGACTAAACTACAGATACAAACTTTTTTGTTGAAAGTCGTCTATATAACTATATAAAAGTAAAAATTGATCACGATTACTTACAGTTTAAATACATTTCTTGGTATTCCCAATGGTATCTGTTGTAATCCTCTATTGGAACAATCAACATTTGGTCCATGACATGTACATTCGTTTGGACAAGCTTCAATTGATTGAGGTAAAATATTTAACAAAATATAAATACACGTTAATAATAGAATTAAACGATGACGATGATTAACGAAATCAAACGGGCTATTCATTTTTACGATATCGTCTATTATGGATTGTTAAATAATTCGTCATTAATTAATATAAATTGTTGTTGCAGTTGTTGTAGTTTCATAACTAATTGTTTAAAATTAAACCTGAAATGAAACAAGGAGCAGGAAACTACTAACATGAATTGAACTATCACGTTAAGTGGCGGAAGAAGAACAAAAATAATACAATTGAACGTTCATTATCCAGATATTCTTCACTTTTTTTAGCAAGATTTTTGTTTTACATAGAACAACTTTTTGAA